TTTGGATGCACTAAGAGTAGTTACACAGTCTGAGAAAACAGTAAAAATAAGCAAAACAGAAGGAATATAAAAGCATAAAAGCTTTTTATAGAAGTAAACTAGATAACAAGAATGAGTAAATAAAAGAGCAACGAAACAATGATAACATTTCCCAAAAATGTTGGTTAATTTTGCTTATGTTTATCAAGTGAATGCTTGCTAGCAAGCATTTCACACGATGAACCTAATACGTACTACAGTATTAATACATTGACATCATGAGCTACATAGCATATGTAGCACATTATATCAAATCGATGCCTCAAATATGAATCCTCAAATTGGAATTCAAAACTGAAGATAAATCTAGATTTCATTCTTTGTATAAAACAGCCATTGATGTATAAACGATTATTTATTTATGAATACATTTAATCTCAATAAAACTCTATCCAAAGTTTACGAAAAAAATATTTTTGGATAACAAACTTTCTTGATTATCTGGTAAATGAAGTACATTCTCGTAAAGTGTACCAAACTTTATCTTTATATACTTTACGACTCCAGGGAGAGGAGTCGTAAAATATGTAAAGATAATACTCATGTTTCCACTCCTAAAATTTTTCACAGATAAATAAATATTTGAAAAAAGTTTACAAGATGACGATTTTGATATTTAATAGCTATTTTTGCAGATTTTAAAACGATGATATGTCCAAAGAATAAATATTAAATTTAATATTATATAAATTTAAATATAAAATAAAGGATTTTGACTGGAAGATAAACTGAAAATATTGTAGTTATGGGAATATTTGAGTTCTGAAATTGAAGTTAAATCACAAAATTAAATTATTGAAGCTTAAAAGAAGTCGAATCATTATAGATTTGGCAAGCGAAATAAACAAAAACTGATTAGATCAGTCGATAAAGTAGCCGGTAAATCTAATATAATTCAAAATTTGATTATATAAAGTTTAGATAGGTAAAGGAAGACATTCTAATCGTACGTCAATTATTAAAAATCGATTTTAAGATAAAAAAAGTGGGCTCTAAAGGAATACAAGCCAATGAGAGGAAATTTTAAGATCTATGTTAGGAAAGATTAGAAAAGACAAAATAATAAATTCTCTAATCACGCAATTAAGCTGTGATCAAAGAATTTAGTTGTCCAAAAGAATTTGAGAATTAAAGATGGGAGGACAAAAGCATCTAGACAGAATCATCAAGAATTAAGTGTTTTGGTCACGTAAACAGAATGGGGAGAAAGAATAGGAAAAGTAGCTTAAGCTATGGGGATAGAGAACTGGGGAAATGTAGAAATTGATGGGAGGATCAAATCAAGAAAGACATAGAAAGAAGAAGCAAGTATAACGAGATTGAAAGGAAAGATTTATGAAAAGACAGAAATACTTGACGGATATTATTCGAAATCCAACCTTCGGATGAGGATAGAGTTTAACAAGTAATTGTTTGAATTTATTGAAAATATTTATTCATCAAATATGGATTACACCACGAAGTTTTATCACGTTAGCTATTTTATTACTCTAAATTTTAAAGTTTTATTTAATATTCTTGCTGTATTGTGAAGAAACTGCACAGCAACGGGATAATTCAGATGTTCATTTTACTACTATGGAGAATAAGGGTTTAAATTCTAGTTATTAGCTCATTATAGTAAACAATTTTTGCTTCAACTTTTTATATTAAACAAATTCTAATATCCAGTACCAAACTTTCTACATCCGAATTTTATTTTTATTTAAAACACGAACAAATAAATCATTATTTTTCTTGATCATTTTTCTAAATTTTTCCGTAAAATCATCAATTTCTTTTCCTGCATCAATATTCAAGGGAAATAATAAATTTAAAATATCTATCACTGATGTTTTAATATATAAAATATCATAAATAAACTATATTAAATTAAGAAAATGTTGTGTCCCTTCATCTATTTAGTAAAATAACCATAAATATAGCATAAAATTATAATTTTAACTTTAAAAAAAAAACAATCCCTAAATTTACAGCAGATGTTGCTTCACCGTCAAGCAATTCTGTTACGCAGTGAAGCATACATAATTTTATTACGTTACATAGCATTTATTAATTAAATAAAAAGTCGAAGTCTATCATATATAAATTACTTACTTTTTACTTAAGAATATGTATTTATAGCTATTAAATTCAAACGAACACCATTATATTTATATATGTTGAATTTATGATAACAGTAAGAGGATTTTCCTACGGTATACGCCTGTATACTGTAGAAAGTAGATGAAAGTAATTAAAAACACCCAGATTATGACTTTAAAATCTTACATAGATCTTATAAATTTAATAAAGGACTTAAGAAAACAATGGCATAAAATAACTGGTCTTATAGGTGATCCAATAAAACATTGTTAGCTACAATTTTCGAATTGTACGTATATACATATATATCGTCGTTGTCGTTCATCTGTCTGTCCTCCTTAAATCTGGGGAAGAGAGTAAGATAGATGAAAACTTAGATTAGATATGAATGGATAAGGAGCATCAAACCTCGATTAACTAAATAAGAACTTCTGTCGTGGAACATAAGTCACGTAATATTTTAAAATTAAAAGATGAAAATTGCAGCCCGAAATTGTGAGAACGTCACAAGGAATAATTGCTCGCTTGATAATATATTTAGATTTATATCATTCTAAACTAAATATTTATATAAGATAATCTAAGCACAGTTAAGAACGTTGGTTCGGTTCCTATTCGAGTTTAAATTTATTTTTTTTGCTTCCTTTCTTTACTTGAACATGAAAGTTACTTTACAAACTAAAATTCATTTGTTAGACATAATTTTGTATTTTCTATTAAGTCACTTAGAAATTTCACAAGAAATTTTTTATTTTAAAATAAAATTTTTAATTTATAATAAGAATTTATTGACGTTAACTGTCACAGGTTACACGAATTTCGGTACTTTAAAATTCATAAATTTTTAAAAGTATTTTTATATAAAATTAGAAGATAAACTTTAAAAAGTTCAATGATTTATTTACTATTCTTTCGCATAAAAGTGTAATTTATATGAAGATAATTTTGACACATAAAAATTTAGATACATATATATAAGATAAATAAATCTGCAGTATCATTTAAGACATCAATATTTAAACAAAAAAATTTTAAATCAATAACATTAACATAAAAGGTAATAAAATTAAGAAATTTAATTCAAACCAATTAAATGACAATAAAAATCACTAATTTTAAGTATTGTCATTTTTAATGTGTTGCTATTTAAAGGATTAAGTGATAAAATTAAGAGAAAAATCCTTCATAAATTATTCATCTATTCGAAATTAGAATGTATGATCCGCACTAATCGAATATAATTATGCTAACAAAGTTAATGTACAGTACATCTAATTATTCCTTCGTTGTATAAAATAAATTTATAGGCAAATTGTTTTCTTTAGAACATAATGTTCCTGTGAATGCCCTAAGATTAGAGTTGATTAGATTTAATTTATTCCCATATTTTGTAAGAGGTAGACTACCATTAAGATTTTAATGAAAATAGTTGATAATAACCCTATGTTAGATAAATTAATTAATATTTAGTATAATAATTAGAATAACTGAGTGTATCAGTTATTCTAATTATTATACTAAAGTATTGAATAAATAGTATTAGTTTAGTATTGAATAAATAGTTCATACACTGTATGAAAAACATTTATTGGGCTATAGTTTTCAAATTGCAGTTCAATGTCTGCCCGACTGTCTTTTGTGAGTGTCGAGAAGGGAGCTAGATAGGTAAAAATCGCGACCAGAATAAAACGTTTATGAGTCAGAGATCTCGATTAACTATATACATTTTTGCTTAAAAATTCAGAAAATTTTTATTTATTTAAATGAAATTTTATAGTTCTAATTATTAATAAATGTTTAATAATCAATTTTATTTATCTTTAATAATAAAAATTTTAATAATATTACTTAAATATTATTCGAAATTCAAATATTATTTTTAATTTATAAATTATATTTGAAATTTACAAAATTGTTTTAAAACTATTTTGATGGGTCTATTTAAATTTTAAATATAATTAATCTCATTATTTCACAATAATTAACATTTCTACATATAAATATTTATAGTACAGAGCTATTAAAAATTATTAAAGAATTAAATTATAATTAAAAATTTTTTTAATTTACTTTTTAATATTCATGTGATTAAAACGATAAATTTTAAAAGCATAAACGTGAGTAATTATGAAAATATCAATGTATGCTCCTCAGCATCATTTGTTGAATAGATGATGCTGAAGAGCACATAAAAATCTCCTCAAGCATTTACTTGATTCTTTACATAATTTCTCATGTCAATCTTAATAATCCCATGAATATTCGAGGAGATTCTTGTATACTCTACAGCATCTTTTATCCAGTTTTTATACAGAAGATTATCACGTAAGTAAATAATAAAAGATAGGATAAATATTCTTAAATATTCTTAATCCTTAACATTCGTATTATAGAATATCATAAAATAATCAATATTTGCATATATAATTAATAAAGCTATACAATTAAGGCGTTTCAATCTAAATATTTAATTTAATTATCAGTAATTAAACTCACGTTAATTGATTAATTAAACTGTTCATTTAATTAAGAGAAACTAACTTTACATAAATAATAATCTACAATTCAAAAAATAAATAAAAATTATTACGTATCTAATTAATATTTTTTTAAAATTGCAGACCTATAGATCCCCAATGTCTGTCCGTTCTTCTTTAATCTCGAAAAACGGAGTTAAAATATAAAATAATTACAAAAAAATCATTATTTTTTATCTCAGTAATTATATTTATTTGAATAGAACTTTTAGACTAAACTTAATCAAGAAATAATTCTTCCAACTTTATTCAATAAAAAAATACGTCATATTTTCATTAAAATTGAAACATTATTTTTGAATAATTCACACAATTTATAGATTATTGGAAAAAACTTACAGGAAATGCACTGTTATTTTCGGATAATTGAAACACTCCAACTGGGTAAAGTCCATATTCGCCACGCGTTGTGTTCAATGGCTTTCTAGCAATAAGGGTGTAATTTCCTTCAGCATCACCATTTTCATCAATATAAACCATATAGCCCATAGCACCTAAAAAAATATCAGTTAATCTCAATAGATTTGCTAAGATAAAAATATTACTTTATAAATTAAATTAATTATGAGAAGTTGTAATTTTTATATTAACATATTATTAATTTATAGAAGAAAATAAGAGTTTTTTTATATCATTTATCGTTTTTTAAGTAATACTCATCGATTTATATAAATGGAGTGATTTGAAGATGCTACTTCTTCGAAAGAAAAACACCAGAGAGAACGGATGATCTTTTGGATATTAGTTTTATTATATATTTTACTTTCATCTTAACTAAAGAAAACATTTGAATTAATACTCGTATAATGTATTGAACAAAAAATACGATGAGGCAAAAGAATTATTTTTAACTTTAGCAAGATAAACACTCCTTTTTCCTCCGCATCTTCCTCATCATTTGTTGGATGAAGGTAATGTGCAGTAGTAAATAATGCTGTTAATTAATTTAATTATATAAAAATAATAAAATTTTAGTATTTTAATAATACTGTTTATTTTATAAAGATAATTTAGATATTTTTGTGGAAATTAAATAAATTTTTCAGACCTAAAAACAAGTATAAAATGAGGTTGAATTTGTTTACAATTTTGTAAAGAATGATAAATTAGAGATGCATTTTTCTCACTGTTTTTCCAATTCAGTGAAAGGAGGGTGTAGAAAGATAATAAAATTTGATATGCCTGATTAATTTTGTGTTTAGAATTCTCTTTAGATGTTAAGTAACATCCTAAACAACATTCTTCACACTATGGACTTTGTTTGCTAATGAATTTGTCTATGTGAAGTTACTACAGCTCCATTATCTAAGCTTTGATAGGTATAGATTCCTTTGGTCACGTAGTAATTACTAAATTATTAAGTTTAGTCATAATTGAAAACGATGGAAGTTGTTTGATTATAGCCTAAATAATAATTAAATTGGCTGTAATAAACAATAAATACAACAGAAAATCGTAAAACATAGAGATTATTATATGAAAAATTCAAATTGATGAGGTAGGATCTTGTAAAATTCGTTCTTTTTCTGTGACGTATTAACTGAATATAAAACAAAAATTGATGATGATGATGATAAATTTATTTATTTAGGCCCTATTTATTTATTGTCTTCGACCAAATATTAATAATATATTTATTTTAATTTTTTAAATTATTTCTTGAATGGAATAAACGTATGAATTGGTTAAATCTTAAAAAAATATACAATTACTTACAAAGAATACATTCGTCTTTATTGCAATTAATTCAAGTTTTTATTAAATAGCTAATAAATATAAAATTGTTTGCCTTATCATAATTATAAATCTCAAAAGAAGCTTATAATTAAATTATTTATTATTTTAAAAATATTCTATTGAAAGACCGAATTTGAGGTTGAAAATACAGCAAAACCTGTGTAAACCGTACGGTACAGAATACATTTTCCGGTTATGGCAGGTTTCAACAGGTATTTTTATTGTAGAAAATCGCTCCGTTTCGAAGAATTTTATCGTTTTAGACAGGTTTTACTGTAATAACATTTTCTTGGCATGTAAGAATTGTGTGAAATGCTTAAATGTTTTTATTAGATAAAGTAAAAATTGCTATTTTTATTTGATATATCGATGTATGTTGGATGTGAGTTCATATTTTCTTACTTATCTTAAAGGAAAACATCAATACTGGTTATAATTTTATTTAATATATTTTTGTGTTATAACAAAGAAAATAATATTTATTGTAATAAAGGCCAGCCTTGTAACAAGTATAAAAATTATTTATAAGCTATGTAATTTTTTTTTTCAATTAAGACCGTACCAATATACCTGTCAGGTATACGGGTATGTGTGTAGCAGACATTAAGTTTCTGTAATGCACAGTATACAGCTAATGCTTAATTAATTAAAGAATAAAATTATCATAAATTATTCTTACTTCTATAAGTTTGGCCTTTTATGTATTCAAATATAACATGACCATTAAATGGGTCTTTTTCTTCCTTTAAGCAATTATTCAATGCTCTTGCATACACGTATACAGCATCGTATAAATATGCACCTTCTGCTGGTACCTTAAATATAAAGAAAATATGTGTTATAAAATACATATATAAAGTATTAAAAATATAACATTTCATTTGTATGTCAAATTTTTCATTAATTACTCTTGTATAACTAAAGCAGGTTAAACATGCTCAAGAAGACCAGAAAGTTGAGATGTAGATGCAAAATTGGTAAGAACTAAACAAAATTTCTTTATTTACAGAAAAAAAAAGTCATGTTTTTTCTCTTAAAAAATATTATATTTTAATAATTTAGAGTTAAAAAAATTAAATTATTTTTAGTTGTAAGAAGATGCAATCCGTGGTTTAAGTGCTCTTCACTATTGAAGTAAATAAACATTTTACAATTTTTATAAAATTTGTATCTGATTATTAATAACGACGTGTGATATAAAAATTGTAGGAAGTAAGAATAAATGTTTTCAAGTAAGAAGTTTAACGCCTGAAGATAGTTTTCAAGGACGTTAAAAATCAACAATGTATACATATAATGAGTAAGTATAAGGTTACTTTTAAACAGGGGTCTGATATGATAAGTTACCTTTCGGAATGATGTTAAATGTATATTTTCTTATCGTTTAAAAAATAAACTTTTGGTAATTTAATAAAATGTTTCTAGTAAATTGTATATAAAGAAAAATTAGCAACTAAATTTTAGAATTTGGTAATAATTTTAATGCATTTAGGTAATATATGACTACAAAATCTTGAATTTTATATTAAATCCCTTCACTTATATACTTTGATCTTCTAGTTTCTAACAATAAATTATTGTAATGCTGTCGGTGATGCAATTACTGAGGATACAATTGAGGTAATTGTGATGACATTACGTCAATGGTAGTAACTTTTAGGGTTAGTCAGCTATATTGATGCAATCATTTTCGATACTTATGGCGATGATATTACGTCATTGATGATAGTATTTTGTCAGTGATTATGAAAACAAATGACACTTTACTCATTCATGACGTCATTGAAAGTAACAGCAACATTTTGTCTTAATTTTTAGACTTGTGAACTGACACACATTTAAAGTATTAAATAATTTATTTTAAAATAATTCAGTTTTTTCACCTTTAAAATCGGAAAACCTCAGAGGAAAAATATAAGATTTCGTTGTTTTAGTATTAAAATATTTTATAAAAATGAATAAAAACATAATTTAGGAGAATAATTCTCGCTTTTTATTATTCGAAATTTGAGCAAATTAATTATGAAAAAATTCCAGCATTAACATAAAACAAATAAATTAATATATATTAAATAATACAGGGTGGACCAAAATCAGTTAACTGATATATATAAATGCCTATATGCTACTATTCTTAATTCAATATCTTAAAATACTCCACAGTGAACAAAATTTTGGCCATCCTATATTACAACTAATTTTCTGGAATACAATAAACAAATTTTTATTTTTGCACAAACAAGTGTTCAAATATTAATTATATAAATCCTTCGTTATAAAAAGTATCATAACTTTAAAAAAACAGCTAGAAATAATGTTGCTGGACTTTTCCGGCATTATTTATTTGTTTTCATCCTCAACAATTGCTTTAAGTCTTCAGATTTCTTCAGAAGAAATTCAAGGTGTGGAACCATAACTCTCGAACCAATGGTCCGATTTTCCTGAAAATTTCTAACTACATTTTGCCCTAACACACAAACCATCCATTAAAATATCAGAAATTTTTAACAAAATGAACAGGAGTTATTAAGCTTCAAATTGGGTGAACAACAAACTCTCTACCCACAAACACATTAACATTCATACATACAGAAAAACACCCCCAATTATTATCTTACAGACTAAATNTTTTTGGACTAACTGTCATACTTTCACTCTAATGTAAAAGCCGGAAAGTAAAATTATTAAAAATTAAATTTTAATTTTAATTCAGCAAAAATATTTGCAATTTTAATATAAAAAAGATTTATTATATTTATAATTTTTTTTATTTTTAAATTGATTTATCATACTCGAGTAAACAAGGATTAAAATTTATTGACTTAGTTTTAAAACTTCTAAGTAACATTAACCTGTTTAAAGTCGATATCATTATAATAATAATTAAATTTAAAAAAACGTCAAGAACTTTAACAGTATCTTGTATCAAATTAATTTAACACGATTGTTCCTTCAACAATTTTCCAACAATATTAATTAAAGATTAACAAAGCTTCAGATTACAGAAACTTAAATGTACAATCCTTTGTAAATAATGCAACAAAAATTTATTCTAAAATAAAATTAGTTTACTTTTTAATAAATTTTATTACATTTTAAAATAGTTTTTTAATACTAGTGTTCTGTAGAGCAACTATAAATTGTGGCCCAAAAATCTGTGAACCGAGCTAATGAATTTATTAATATCTTGATTAACCGACATTTGAGCCACATTATTTTAATATAATTTGCTAAATTGAAGAGTAATAATTATATATTTTACTTATTCTATAGATTATATATTAACATAAAATCATATTCATGAGACTTGATGAAGAAATTGCATCTTCATTAAGTCGGCATTTTCTGCATCTTCTTTATCAAATAATGCAAATTTAATTCGTTTTAATTAATGGAACTCGCGTAAGACGTGAGTTGGAATTTCTTTTAATAGATTTGGTGAATAATTAAAGCATGAAATGAAACATAATTCGTTCGATGTGTAAACATTCATTATCACTTTCATTAAGAAAATTGTATTACTTATCACTAGAATCAATGAACTTCGTTAAATATGTAAACAAAATACAATTTATCATCAGTTAAATAACAAAATATGCATTGATTTATGCACTGATGGTATATAAATTCAGTGTTTTTCTTATGTTTGAAATTGAATTTTTAGTTATTTTTTTAAATAACTAAAAATAAAATAAAGAAAGCTTTATTTTTTATACAGAATCATTATTTATATAATGCTAACATTTACAAAGTTATTGTTAACATCTAAAACAATAAATAAAAGTATGCAGCAAAATAATGAATTAAGACAATCGAAAGGCATAAATTTGACTAAAAAAATTCAATTAAACATATAAGAATTAATTGAATTTATAAACTATTATGTTCAGAAATATTTTCTTCTTTTCATACATTTATGAGCAACGTTCAATAATAAAATGAAACACATATCCACAACACCTGTATTTAAACATATTTTTTAAACCAAAGACATATAGAATATATATATATACCGGTATATATTTGTATCTAGTAAATCGGAGCCTCCTGCCTCGAATATTTTCATATCTAGTCTGGAGTTTTATCTACAGTCGACCCCCTATAACGTAGGTTCCTATAACGGAAATTCCTATAACGTAGCGAAAAAATTGTAGCAACTTTCGTATAACGTACCTCCTATAACGTCGTTTCGCGAGAAGATTGATAGAGTCTGGACCAATAGTGGATGAGCAGCCGAACTACTTTTCTCCGACCCTGCGCCACGCTACGGAGCGGCTAAATTGAGTTTGCTATCGTCTGTTTAGTATTATATATAAATTATATATAAATTAGGTACTGTACATATAATTATATATTAATTATATATAAATTAGGTACTGTATATATAATTATATATTAACTTAATTTATTGTAACTTTATTATAATTATATATATGCTTTCTGCCGCCTGGCAACACGCTACGGAGATTTTAGGCTAGTAAGTTGAGTTTATTATCGTCTGTACAGTATGTAAATTAGGTACCGTAAGTCTAATACAGCACTAATTTTATACATTTCTTGTGAAAGAAACACTTCTTATTCAACGGCCATAAAAATTATTTATATTAATGATGTCTCCAAAGTTCAACGAAGTCTTCGCAGAAAAATAAGTTGTTAGAAATCGCGGCCGCCGTTTAATGTGCTGTTCCGCGATGAAAACCAGCTTTAAGCAACGGCGTAGTCGAACGGTACACACTCGGTAAGTAATCCTATAATTTTTTGTTTATAGCGTAGTTTATACGGATTATTCCCAAAAAATTATACGTGTTTTGGAAATGTTGAGTGAAATTAGTCTAGAATCGGTTAATTTTATAGAAGAAAACCTTTCAAACAGCCTTAGTCCGTAAAGTTCCCACCTATCGGGCTGCGATTGGCTCATGTATTTAATCGTTCCTACAACGTAATTTTCGGTAAGCGTGGAACGTATCTAAGCGTTATAGGGGGGGGGGTCTACTGTATCTTATACCGTTCTCGAGATTAAGAAAGGACAGCCAAACAGATGGACGACAGTTTTTTCAATAAGCTGATCCAAAGCAGAACAATATGGGGATAAACCCGGTATACCCGACAGGTGTACCTAAAAAGGTACACCAGCACGTACGTGGCCAGCTTAAATCAAATGCCAGGAAGTATATAACTTGCACATAATTTATAGAATTAAAATTGTCTGTATCTTTTACCACTGATTAATCTACAAAGAAAAAAAAACGAGCCATTTTTCAAGCAAAAACAATTGTTTGTTAAATTATTGTCAGGTAGAAGGAAAAAGCATCGAGTGTGAGAAAATGTAAACATAATTAGTTCTTAATGATGATAAAATAAATTCTTTCACTAATAAGAAAAATATATATTTGTTCAGAGCTCTCACACTAGAACAACTAAATAAGATCTCTTTTTTTTCCTCTGTGGAAACTAATGCTTCATTATTTCTGTATTATATTATTTCCTAATTAAGTAAGAAAACTGTGGTAATTATTAATAAAGATCGTAATTAACACGTATAAATGAGCTTTCCAACGTTTTTTAGTCGCTTAGCGTATTGAAAGAGGATGACATTGTACAAGAATACGCTTTACCGCCATCTCGGGTATGTCGAGCTGAAGGAGATGTATTTATTTTGTACGAACTAATTTGTAATGTTTTCATATTTTTATGTTTCTCTCTTTTAATTTACTAAATAAAAATGTTTACAAATGTAAAATTTATTTTAGAATCTTTTATCATCAATTTTAATCAAAAATATTTAATATACACATTTTCACATTTTAAATGTAAT